CAGCAGCGCTTCACTTCTTACGAAGATGTACGAAAATGGCTAGATGACTGGTTTGGCTCAAAAGAGCAACAATTTTTTTGACGTGGCATCCACAAATTGTCAGACAGGTGGGAAAAATGTATAGCTAGCAATGGGCAATACTTCAAATAAAATATTTTTTATCATTTTCATGCAATAAACGTGTATTTTCTATTAAAAAATTCCGGTTTCATATTTATATACCTGGTATTCTCTTAATATCACCTGGTATTCTTACCTACAGATACATGCTTGGATGTGCCGAAAAGGAAATATATGAAAACGGGAAAGAAGGCCATATATATGCCAACTACTGGCGGCAAATTTCCTAGAAGCGCATAAGCCATACCTTGCGGTATATGCATAATTGCTACTGTTAGGCCTGAAATAATATCAGGCAATATATCTTCCCTCCAATTATATTGGCTGAGCCATTGTATCACTGGGACTGTTGACACTATACAAGACTGCCAGTTCTTTGACTTAACATTGTTTATCACATTCTGCATCACTGTAAACAGATGATTTGTACATATAATTAGATTTATGTTTTTACACACGGTGTGTCTATAGCTCGTTATAACTTACAGGATGACTTTGGTTTCTCATAATCATAATTTTGATTCAGCATTTCGTGTTCATAGAGAGGCCTTTCTAAGTGTATTTGCAGCATACTGCTTTTGTTCATGATCTACAATGGCAAACGTATTTAATTTTAACAACTGTATCTATCTCTGAGCTCAAAGTCAGAACTGATGCAAGATTATCTTTTTGCTTTATACAATGTATCTGTCATCAAATCAACATTATATAATTGATATTATATTTTTGAGATCTATGAATAAAATTCTCTATCTCTAAAACTACAATTCAACACTTCTTCATTTTTTACGATCACGTAATATCTTGAGCAGAATTTTACACATATGCACACACGCATACATGTGCCCATGCATGCGCACATACGCGCGCGCGTGTGCACACACGCACACATATGCACACACGCTGGCACGCAATTTCTCATATTTTATATTTAATCTGTAATGATTTACGCACGAGTAAAAGATTCATCGAATGAATATACATGAACATACAATATATTATTAAATGCATTGCTCTGGTTATAGTCTTTATGTTATATAATATGTATTACTACAAATATATATATATATATAGAATTTAAATTAGATTAAAATTATAAATATTTTTTAAACTCTGTCATCATCTTGTCCGTTTTAGCTAGTTAGCTACTCAATGAAAAGCGTAAATTTATATGTATCGCAAGTAGCACATCAGCGCTTGCAAAGCGCTAAAAAAGCGCATATAATCGCTTTTTTAGCGCTTTGTTAACGCTTTGTAAGTGCTGTACTACTTGGGATGTATATACATACATATTAAAACGGATTCTTCGACTCTTTTAATCCTCAGCAAAGAGACAATGAAATTACTAGTACGTGACTAATAATCCGACGAAATTTCAGATGCAGTGATTGGCTATGTAGTATAACACAATATTCATATTTATAATTTCAATTTAGATCTCCTAACCTACAATACCTACATCTGTCTCCGCAGCCATAGTGGAATTATAGAAGAGGTCTGTTCTTTATTGCTGCACTCTGAACCAGTGCAATAAGTTGAAGTGAAATAAACGTATGTTTGTTTCATTTCAACTTAATGCACTGTGTGTACTAGTTTAGAAAGTGCAGCAATAAAAAAACAGACCTATAGTGTGCCGTTCCCGTGGATGCGTAGTAACCTAAAAATAGTGGGGAGTGGACAACCAATCATGGGGGGCCCATTCGATTAAAATCCAATATGGCTGTGTTTATTTCGGGGCACTGCGTGTTTACTACTGTTTAGAGTGTTATTATAACAGACAAACAGCATAGCTGAGTTTACATACAAATTATTTTGCATGTATATGTTTACATATATAATATTCTATTATAGAAGTTACAGTTAATTTTAAATGTAAACGCACGATATCCAGGAGCACGTCATGATGCATATATTTGATCAAATTCTCCAATATGGCATTATGGAACGGCGTTTTAGAAACGGAGAACGTAATACATGGTTGATTGGTAAGCTACAGTTTATTTACTGTACTATAACTATATTTATTTATACTATAAGTATTAAATAATAAATAATTTTTATAGGTGATGATGGTTATGGCTTGGAACCTTGGCTGATGACACCTTTAAAGAATGAAATACCAGGTTCATCAAGATTTCGCTATAACGATGCTTTATGCAGCGCTCGATCATGTGTAGAAAGATTATTTAGTGTTTGGAAAGCTGTATTTAGATGTTTATCGGCTTAAAGACAGTTAATGTACGAACCTGGTATGGCAGGCAAAATAGTGAATGCATGTGCTGTACTACATAATATGAGAATTGCACATAGAATAAATGACATA